GTGTTGCTGGGGATAAAACCACACCTGTGCCGATCACTGTGGCTCACGCCTGTAATCCCAGCACTTTGGGAGGCTGAGGTGGGAGGATCACCTGAGGTCAGGAGTTCGAGACCAGCCTGACCAATATGGTGAAACCCCATCTTTAAAAAAAAACCACACCTGCCACTAAGGTCTAGAATAGGGGCCCTGCTTAGCTGTGAGCCTGGCCACGGGGTGATGGGGATGGGAAAGATCTGGGCCAAAGACATCCCAGTGGCTCCCAGACCCCTGCTCCTCTGTCTCCCTCCAAAGCCATTTAAAAATACACCAACCAGCTCTTTTAAGAGTTTGCATTGTTCCTTGCTGCCTTTGAGGTCCCACCTACATTTTATTTTCTCTATAAAGTTTTACCCTAATGTGACTCTTTCACACTCAAATGTCCTATCATATGCCTCTGAAACAAAAATGTATCTATAAATTAAAATAAAAAATTTAATCCTTTGTTATTTTAGTTAAAATTTTTCTCTTGGATTGAATTATCATGCAATTGCTATTAGTATACCACTGACGGAAACAGCATGCATTATATAATTGATGTCTTGGCCGGGTGCAATGGCTCACACCTGTAATCCCAGCACTTTGGGAGGCCGAGGCGGGTGGGTCACTAGGTCACTAGGTCAGGAGTTCAAGACCAGCCTGGCCAATATAGTGAAACCCTGTCTCTACTAAAAATACAAAAATTAGCTGGGCATGGTGGCACATGCCTGTAATCCCAGCTACTCCGGACGCTGAGGCGAGAGAATTGCTGAACTGGGACCTGGGAGGCAGAGGTTGCAGTGAACCGAGATGGAGACACAGCGAGACTCCCTCTCAAAAAAAAAAAAGTAATAAATGAAATAAAACTGGCCAGGTGCAGTGGCTCACACTTGTATCCCAGCACTTTGGGAGGCCAAGGCGGGGAAGATAACTTGAGCTGGGCATGGTGGCAGGCGCCTGTGATCCCAGCTGCTCAGGAGGCTGAGGTAGGAGGATCGCTTGAGCCCAGGAGGTTGAGGCTGCAGTGAGCTGTGTTTGTGCCACTGCTCTCCAGCCTGGGTGACAGACAGAGATCCTGTCTCGAAGAAAGAAGAAAGAAGAAGGACGAGGAGGAGGAAGAAGGAAGAAGAAGTAAGAAGAAATAAACTACATGCAGCCACAAGTATCTCAAAAGTATCAAATAGCCAGGCGTGGTGGCTCACGCCTGTAATCCTAGCATTTTGGGAGGCCAAGGTGGGTGGATCACGTGAGATCAGGACTTCAAGACCAGCCTGGCCTACATAGTGAACCCTGTCTCTCTACTAAAACTACAAAAAATTAGCTAGGCATGGTGGTGTGCACCTGTAATCCCAGCTACTCAGGAGGCTGAGGCAGAATTGCTTGTTCCCGGGAGGCGGAGGTTGCGGTGAGCCAAGATTGCATCACTGCGCCCCAGCCTGGGCGAGAGTGATACTTAATCTCAAAAATAAAAAGTATCGGCCGGGCGCGGTGGCTCAAGCCTGTAATCCCAGCACTTTGGGAGGCCGAGGCGGGTGGATCACGAGGTCAAGAGATCGAGACCATCCTGGTCAACA